TTTTAGAATAAAACGCGTCCACTATATTAAGCAATTTAAGTTAGCAGTAAACAGCAAGTACGGGATTAAGGATTTAAGCGAAGCAATCTCCTTCCTTAATATTAGGATCCTGCAAGACGCAATAGATAAAAAGCTTTAGATCTGTTAGGATAGATATATCGACAAAATCTGCACTAAATATAGGATAGATAAGTTACAGAGAATGGTTTATACACCTCTTACTTTATTATATTATCTCTAACCTTTTAAAGGACAGGCTACTATGCAGTAAGTTATAGAGATGCAGGAAAAGATAGGTTTAATATTGTACGCAGCAGTAGTATTAAAACCAGATATCTTGTTTACAGCCAGCTAGTTAAGTTAGTTTGCAACGAACCCTTTACTAGAGCACTTGCGATGCGCAAATTAAGTTTTCTTATATCTCTAGACTACAAAGTACTATACTATTAAGTTTTTGGGCTCTGTGAATTCTACAGCAGTAGAAACAGGCGATGATGAAGTGCTGCAGCTATTAAGCAACGCATCGTTCGCGGATAATCTAGAGACTCGAAAATCCACGCAAGATTACCTTATAAAGCTATTTAATAGACCGATTATATAGCAGTTCTCTAAATAGAAAACTGTTACAATATCTATAACTAAAGCAGAGCTCTTATTACTGTTATACACGGCGAGGGAGATAATAGGTCTATATAGGCTGTTCGCACAGGTACAGTTTAATCTAGAACAATAACCTCGCATCCTCTGTAACAATTAGCAGACAGTAGGCCTAATTTAGAAAGAAAGGCTACAGTTAACCTTAAAACTAAAACACGTCGATATCTATAGCTTATAGCTGAGGCAGATCTATTAAAGTGGCAAAGTTATAGTCTAGTAGGTTCCAACCACGGGCATGCCTTCGGATGGCTTTATAAAGCCCCTCTTAACAGAGAAACACGTACACTTTATACGCTAACTAGGCCTGGTTAATATCTTATCGCGGATTAATCTAGAATACGCATTAGAAGAGGATAGTCTATAAGACGTTTAGACCTTATCTAAAACAGAGTGAAATCTAGGGGGGTGTGTTGCAGACTAAGGCATTAGCCGTGGAGGCCTAAGGCAAGAACTGTATTAATAAGCTTGCTATTAAAGCTATATAGAACGTCGGGCGGGGTAACCCAACCGATAGAAGAAGAACCACACACACACAATTAATTATACTCTGCTGCTTAATATTATTTCCAATCCCGCTTTATCCCGTGCACACCTAAGTGCGATATATTACTAGCTATTTATACAACCTGTACTATATTTAAAATACTGTTTTTTCCTTATCCCCTTTCTTTACTTAGACCTTATAAAAGGCAGCAGAGATATTAAGCTTTATAAACTATTTTACTTTACTAATATAAGCTAATATTTCTTATATTAAGGGTAATAGGTACCTGTTTTTTTTAGTAATATAGTTAAGGGCTTAGTAATTAACATAGAACTATAGTCTTCTACCGGGCTTTTTTATAAATAGTACCGGTGCGCTTACTATAGAGTAATTAACTTAAATAAATCCTTTATTAAGGAGTTTAGTAAGTGTTTTCTAAAGGACTAAAAGTTTGCTATTAGATATACCGTAGAGCAGGCCCTATAGTAACAGTTCTTTTTTACCCTTAGCTATAAAGTTAAGGTTAATTATATAGTTAATTCCCAGGCTATAGAAAGGGGGTAGTTATTTAGCTTTAGTAGGGCTAAATAGCTTTACTTTATAGCTTAACTATTGCGGAAAAACTATTTAGACCTTGCTGTTATCTATTTTCTTCTTAGGCTGTAAGGCCTTTTTAATATCCGCTATTATAGCGGCAAATATTTATACAGCTTTGCTTTTCTTTTAGTAATAGTGTATAAATAAAGTGGCTCTAATTTATATATAATTGTATTTCTTTATATTCCTTCCTTTTATACTTTTTACTCTTGTTCCTAATAAGTATATAAATAAGGTCTTCTTCGCGGGTACTATATATATATTATATTGGTTTATCTATAGTCTTCTAAAAATATAATTATAGCCTAATATATCTTTAGTAAAATAGAATACGGCTTATTATTAGTGTCTGTTAATATTAATATTAGTGCGTATAAACTATATTACTAATATCGGCTTGCCTTCTATTCCTGCAAGGGGATAGGGCTTAATTTTAATACGCGTAAGGTTAAGAAAGTTAGCTATATTATAGCTTATTAACCTATAGGTAAAATAACCGGAATTAATTATAGATAATATAAAAAACGTTTTATTAATAAGTATATCTATAGTTATAGGTCTTATAATAGGTGCTACTTTCTTAAAGCTTAGTAATAGTTTATTTTCTTTCTTAGTATACTACTAATTATAACTTTATTTAGTAGTTACTTTTTTCCCTAGTTATCTAGGCTAATAAGGTCCTTTAGGGCCGATAGTACGGCTGCCGTTATAGTAGGATAAATAGGACGTCCCTAATTATAATTGCGTTATATATAGCCTATAGCTCTGCAATAAATATAGATATAATTAGCATAATATTATTAAAGTTTAGCAGGTGTTACCTAACAGGCATAAAAAGTATTATTACCGGGCTTAGCTGCTTTAGCTACTATTAGAGTCTAGTCTATAGCGTTGGTGTTAGATGCTAGCTAGGGAGAAGCTATTTACAGTGCGATATATAAGTAGTTAGTTTAGCTTTTTTTTTATCTTCCGGACCCGACAGATATTATCTTCTACTTAGATTAGTTATTACTTATATACCTTCTACTTAGTATAGCGTTTAATTCCTATAAGGCCTTCTTAGAGGTCCAGGTTAATAGCTAGGTTAAAAAAAGCTATTTTTAAACTTTATACCTATATATTTTCTTTAGCTTCTAATAAAAGCTTTTTAAACTTGCTTAGGAAGCTTCTAAGGGGCTTTTTATACTGCTTTATTTAACTAAAAAACTGCAATACTTTCTCTTTTACTATATGGTTTTAGAAGGCGTTCCTTATTTTAATAAAAAATATATTCTTGCTAATAGGTTAGTTCTTAGCCCTATAGTAGTTAGCTAAGAAAGTATATACTAGGCAGCTATACCTTCCAGTCGGCTAAATATATAGCTAATATAATTAGCATCGCTTTCTAGAGCTACCGTATTAACTTATAGCTTATTCTAGAGCTTAGTTTTAAATATATTATATTTAGTAGGTTTAGAGTAGTTATATAACTATATATTAGGTATAATATACTACAGATAATAAATAGACGTGTTTGCGGGTTCTACTATAAATTGCGGGGCTTTATTTTAAATATAGGAGCCCTAAGGCTGTAGAAAATTAGGTGCTATAATTCTATAGATTATTTCCTTAAGGTATTACTAAGTTTGCTATTACTAGTTAAGTATTTATTAAATAAAGCTTTTAAATTAGCTATTAAGCCAAGTTTATATTTCCAGGATTCTCTTATTATAGAGTTGTTCTATAGTTAAATTACTATTTATTCTACTGCTACTGCTAGTAGAAGTAAATAAGGTAGCTTCTAGGGCTTAAAAAGCTTAATTAACAGGTCCCGGTGTTCTAAATGCTTTATATAGCTTATTTAACGGATAAGATTAATTATCGCCTATATTAATATTAAAGGGGGGGTTGGTGGCCATTAAGGGGAGAGGTACTTATACCGCGTGAGCAGTTGTATAAGGGAGAAAGGGATAAATAAATAAATTCTAATATAAGGGCCGGAGGCCTAAAACAATAGATTATATTAAGTATAAGAAGAATTTATTAAAGATCTAAACTGCGAAAACACGCTGCCTATATACCTTATCGTTGAGAAAGTAATGCAACCGTCCTGTCCTCCTCCGTACAGTATCGTCGTGCTGCATCATCGTGCTTGTGTTGTAATATCGTGCTGCATCGTCGTGCCGCAATGTGAAGGAGGCTCCGTAGGAGGCTACGTAAAACGGAAAGGGTGTGTGGCCAATTAAGCGGCCGTTCGAACGGCTAGGTCGTGAGAACACGTGTTAGTGTATGGTTTGATGAATCGGACAGGGTGGAACAGCCTAGCCAATTCCTAGAAATAGAGATTCAATCTCAGAATAGGTCCTGGTGACGGCTTATAAACCAGGACGGATAACGTGGAACGGAAAGGATAAATTAAGGCGTTATAAATTGGACAGGGTGGAACAGCCTAGCTAGTTTTAGTATAGAATTTAGGTTCTTGGAATAGAACTGATTCTATACTAAGTTTGTAAAGCCGGCAGGCTGCACGAGTTGGGTAGGCTATGCGAATTGGCACTGCGTTGGTTCGAATTGACGTAAGGGACGAGCCGAGCCTTGTGAGGTAGTCAATAAGAAGAAGCCCAGGGCGTAGCCCGTGACATAGGTCGCAAGACACCCTACGTCCTAAGATTTATTTTTTATTCAGACATTTTAAGTCTTTCCTTATAAGCCTATAAAGTTATAGCTAATATAATAATATTCTTTAGGTATTTCTCCTTAGGATACCAGTTCGCGACTAAAAAAAATACAACGACCTTAGTCATATTATCGATCATTCCGTTCGTAGCATCTAGATCCAAATCAGCGTTGCACCCCTGCTCCACCACAACAATTGATATATTTTTAGATTTCCGACCCTTAGGACAATAATCCTATTAAGAAAGAAAATAGTCCCATGCTTTGAAGACCTGTCCTCCTTGAAAGGCATGCATAAAAAAGTTTCTCCGTGCGAAGGATTGCTCAGTGTCTTAGCGTATAGATTTAGTGCCCTTATTATACATTCAGCTAATTGTATTATATTCTACGCTATACCAAACTGACTTGAGAGGTGTGTAGCGTGTGGCGTTCTTCTCGAAGCTTCGGATGGTCACGTGCTGGTTATTTTTAGCGCGTTTCATTGTTAGCTACGTGGCCTTTCACGTTGGCTTCGTGGCCGCTGGCCGCTGGTTTCGTGGCCGCTGGCCGCTGGTTTCGTGGCCGTGGCCTCTCATGTTCCTTTCCTCTCACCACCACAATCGCCACCATGGACCGAGCCAGCCAGGTGCTGGCGCAAGCCCGTCTAGACGTGCCTATGACATACGCTGCTCTAGCAGACCGGGGCGGTGTTCCTCGCTCTACCCTCCATCATTGTGACAAGGGACGACGCTCAATAGAGGAAAAGGCCCAAAGCCAGCAATACCTGACCCCAGACGAAGAGAAAGCTGTTATTAAATTCTTATTACTAATGTCTAATCTTGGGCAACTAGTGCGCATTAAGTATATACCTTCGCTAGCCTTTTATGTCGCCCGCAACCAATTAACAAATAAACCAATCAAGCCTCCAGGCAAGAACTGGCCTCGGGGCTTTGAGAAACGCTATCTAGAACTTAAAGCTAAAACCGTCAAGGCAATTAACTGGAAGCGACATGGGAATAACATATATGATAAGATTGTAGAGTGGTTTGAAATGATCCAGAAGGTGCTACAGGATCTGGATATTCTGCCGGAAAATGTCTATAATATGGATGAGACGGGAGTCTTGCTAAGCATGCTCGGTTCTGTCAAAGTCCTTGTAGGTAAGGATGACCTGCGAGACCATAGAGGCGCGGGTGTGAAGCGGACAATGGTGACTGCTGTTGAGTGCATCAGTGCTGACGGCAGGCGGCTGCTCCCCTTTATAATCTGGCCAGCTTCAACCCACCGAAGTAACTGGACCACATATCCAACCCCCGGATGGCATTATGGGCATTCTGAAAATGGATACAACGACTCTAAGATTAGCTTAGAGTGGCTTACGCGTGTGTTTGATCCCCAAACCAAAGAACTAGCTAACCAGAAACCACGGGTTCTAATAATGGACGGCTTCGGGACACACGAGACGCTCGAGGTCTTAGAGTTTTGCTTTGAAAACAACATCATCCTATGCCGCCTCCCCTCTCACACGGTACGTTATACCCCATCCTTCAAGCCCGCTCACCTTCAGCATCCCCATGCCCTCCTCACCCTATCCACCCCCGGCGTCACAGCCAGCATAGAGTCCCCGGGCATCATGGAATATTCTTCCAGCTCGGACAGTGGGCTTCGGACCCGGATCGAGTCATCCCACGTTCCTAAACGAGCTGCAAGAACAGGAAAGGCGGTGCTCGCAGACGCAGCACGATCGTCAGTCTGTCTTCTTTGTAAATGCCTGCTAATATGTACCACATTAAGTCTCACAAGCTCCAGCCCTGTGACGTCGGAGTCTTCGCACCCTTAAAGGCAGCCTATCGCGACCAAGTTGAACTACTATATCGAGGAGGTGTAGATGTAGTTAGCAAGGAGCATTTCACATCTCTATACAGCCCTGCAAGGGAAAGGGCATTAACTAAAAGGAACATCCTAGCCGGGTGGGCCGCAACTGGTTTATTTCCCTTCAACGTAGAGAGTACTCAGACATACACCGAGGCCCCCTGTTGCAGTTCCGACTCGACTTACCGTTTCCGTTCTAAATGCTAATGACGTGGTGTCTTATCCGCAAGACGAAGTACCGCAAACACCTGTAACGCCAGTGACAGCAGAGGGTCTCACGCTAATACATAAGCTGATTGAACAGGATGCTTATAGGCTTAATAAGATCAGCAAATAGCGCCTACATAGACACGTACAGAAGATTACAAGTGTCGCTAGAATATCTCTTGCCGAAAATGCCCTTCTTAAGGATCAAAATCGACTCTTGGCTAAGACAAACGGCGAAGCCAAAGTTCGCCGATCGACCAAGTCATTAATCCTAGGGAAGGCGAAGGTGATGAGCTATGAGGACCTTAGTGAGGCACGAGCGAAGCGTGCTGCTGCAAAAGAGAAAGCTATGGTGGCACAAGCGAAGCGTGCTGCTGCGAAAGAAGAGAGAGCTACGGCGAAAGGGAAAGCTACGGCGGGCAAGGGAAAACGCGGCCGTCCGCGCAAGACTCCTGCGCCAGAGGCGGGTTCGCCAGAGGTGTGTATGAGCGAAGCGCCAGAGCTAGAGGGGAGTCCGCCAGAGGTGCGGATGAGCGAGGCGCCAGAACCAGTAGGGTCCCCAGTGACGCCTATGACAGAGCCGTATAGGGACCTAGTGGCGCAGATGATAGATCCACGGAGGGCTCCAGTGGCGCAGATGATAGAGCCATGGAGGGCCCCAGCGGCGCAGATGATAGAGCCATGGAGGGCCCCAGTGGCGCAGATGATAGATCCACAGAGGGCGCAGAGTGTTGCAGAGCGGGGAGAGAGTGGCGTCTGATGCACGTCATGGGTACTCCTTATAGCGGCGTATACGCTATGATATATTTAGTTAGTGGAACTTATGCCAAGCAATCTATGTGTTTGCATTCCCCTCGTCGCACGTGTTGCTTGGCAAGCTCACGACAGTGGGGCTGTGCTTGATTCTAGTCCGGAAGTTAAACGAGAATATTTGATCAGTCCTTTACATGAATGGGTTGGAATGGCAGAGTTATTAGAAAGAAGTTACTGCCATTATGGCCTATCCTGCGTTCAACCACCTTCCCAGCTTGTGGAATGTCTCCGCTTAAGAGACCTCGACTTTGGCGCTCCAATCTCTGTAGACTCATCTTGGCCTGCTTTCGGCTCAATAGACGCAACTTGCAACGCCTGAAGTCGATCTTTAAGCCGCCTACACCATTTCGAAGAAGGTCCTTGGACGGTTGTGTATCCAGCTAATGCCCGACTGTACATTGCTTTCGCTAAGTCTATCCGACCTATCAGCGAGAAGAGGTTGCCAAAGGCGAACATGGTATTCAACGCTGGTAAGTACGATGGCACGAGTTGAGGGCCAAGTGCCTCCTCGTAGCCTTGCAGCGCCCGAGTGTACATGGCCTCCGCGTCGGCCAGCTTGCCTTGGTTCTTGTAGAGGTTGCCTAGGTTGTTGACCGTATTGAGTGTCGATGTGTGCTTCGGTCCAAGTGCCTCCTCGTAGCCTTGCAGCGCCCGAGTGTACATGGCCTCCGCATCGGCCAGCTTGCCTTGGTTCTTGTAGAGGTTGCCTAGGTTGTTGACCGTATTGAGTGTCGATGTGTGCTTCGGTCCAAGTGCCTCCTCGTTGCCTTGCAGCGCCCGAGTGTACATGGCCTCCGCGTCGGCCAGCTTGCCTTGGTCGGCGTAGAGCAAGCGTAGGTTGTGCAGCACCCATTCTATTCCCTCAATACCCACGTTGCCGTCCGTGATGAAATGTTCATGTCTTGCAGCATGTTGAAGGAGCCGCTGCTGTAGGAGCCACCACTTGTCTACATCCGTGCTAGGAACTTCAGATGCCACGCAAGTCAGGGCTAGCCTTGCTAAGCCATTGTCCCACTCGCCGTTCAATACAGATATCATCCACGAGTGCACACAGCTATGCACACCATACCCTGCGGATCCAGACGGCTGTCGAAGTGAAGGTTCTGTATGAGCCAGACCGTATTCGCATAGCAGTCGAACTGCCTCGTTAAAGTTCAATTTGTCCTCAGTAAGCTTCCGTATCCACTTATTGTCCGCAGAGCATGCATGTTGAAGAAGTTCAAACCACACGTCTTGCTTATCAAAATATGCCCACAGCTTAAGCAATTGGGCTGAGGCCGCATTCTGTTTTCGAATCCGATCAAAGGTGACCTGCCATGTCGTGTACAGTGATCGGTCTTCATATGAACTTAACCTTGGACTCGTCATCTGGAGTTTCAGCCATGATGCCTCATATAGCCGAAGATACTCCGCGAAGCTTGTGGTCACGTGCTCTAGATATGCCCCAGCCGTGGAGAGAGCAAGAGGCAGGCCATCTAGCTTCATGACGAGCGCTTTTGCATCAGGATCTATCTGATCAGCTCCGTTCAACTCATTTTATCCCAAAGTGACATACCGTTTTCAATACCCTCCCTTCCAGACATGTTCGACAAGATCTTGAGCCCGTCCTCAGGTCCTGTCAACTTCTGAACGTGGAGACGTCGACCTTGGGTAACACTCGCTGACCGCGTCGTGATGATGATCGAGCCGTGGTCAGTTTCTGGTAAATATCGACGCACATCCACCGCTGAGCGGTCGGAATCGTTAGAGGTTCTGGGATTGTCGTAATTGTCATAGGTCATCAGCCAATGTGTGTTTTCCCGGAGATCGAGCCAGGCTTTGACTGCATTGACCACTCGATCAAGGTCTCCTTCCAAATCCACATTGATAAGTACTCTAGTCGAAGGATGATGTTTCAGGACTTGCTGAGCAATGCTTCGAAAGCTCAGCCGAAGAGAATCTTCATTATTCGCATTCAGCCAGAATATCGCCGTGTATTTCTCCTTGTGTCGTCTGACGTATTCGACCGCCAGCTGAGTCTTTCCAATTCCTCCAAGCCCGTGAAGGACGACTGCCGATCGGCTACTATGACCATGAAGCAGCTCATGCATCTTCAACAGCTCCTTCTCTCTGGCAACAAACTGTGCAGCTTCAGGAAATGACGCAAGGTTGAGCCCGACGGCAAATTGTTCGAAATCGACACCTGTGCTGGTCAGTTCCATTGCTTTAGTTAGCACATCTGTGCAAAAACTTTACCCTTGTATAACCTGTGAATCTCTTCCTCTAGCCGCCGGAATGCTTGATCCCTTCTCTCCCTATAGTTTGGCACCATGGAAACATTAAAGATCCCGACTAAACAGTACACTTCATCCTCTTCAATTGTGGTATTGCGGCGCTCTGCCCAGGACCTCCGCTCTTTAATGCTAAAATTCGACAATGCATCGCCTCGGAGAGCATTCTTTGCGATGCTGGTAATCTCGTGTATCTCGGACTCAAGCAATAATTTGCTCCCAAGTCGCTCACCCTCCAAGCTGAAGAAGTCAACCAGCCTTGGTGCAATAAGCTCTTGAAGCGTCCAGCCTCGGGTAAACCATCGACTCGTCCTGAAGGCCTCTTCCCATGCCATTTTGCCATCTGCTTTGTTGTCGAGTTTGGAGACATCCGAAAGGTAGACGTAGCAGCGCGCAGCGTTCTGATACCACCGAAACATAGAGTTGATCGCCGCGCCGAGCTCGACCGCATTCTTCTTATCGATGCAGCAGGTGTCTACCCAGAAGTATCGTAGTCCATCACTTGCGGCCTGCTTCGCGCAGAACTCTATCTTCCTCCACCCAGCCTTGCTCACAGTCTTGCTCATGTCCGCGTTGGCTTCCATGTCCTGAAAGTTGACCTCCTCTTTTCCCCATGTATGAGAGAGTATTGCGTAGGCAGGGACATCGCCGCTGGTAGGTTCGCGAAAGACGATCTCGCCGTCCGGTTTGCGCTGCAAAAGGTGTATGAGAGCCATGCCTGAGGGTCGGGTGCGATCTCATGGCAAGCGCGACTCGTGCGGCTCGTTCGGCATATCGGCGCAAGGTGTGCGGTTCAAGATCGACAGAATGGAAACAGACGTCGAAGGACTGATCGTGAGAAGGTTATGCAGTGGTGGTCGTAGGCGCTGCTCATGAGGCTGCATCGTGGCGCAGGCTGACCGGCCATTTGCATCGGAAGGCAGACACAACGCGAAGGGACACTCGTGTCGCCCATTTCATTGGAAGCCTTGCGCACTGCACACTGAATCCTGGCATAGGTTGCTCATCGTTGTTGAAATGCCGCAAGTCATTTTGAGGTCTTGCGTAGTTGTTTCATATTTGACAAGCAGCAAGGTAGGTTGTGGGCGGTTGTGAGAGCGAATTTGCTCCAGGGCGGAGAGCATTCGCACTCACTGAACAAGGAGGGGGCTGTCGTGCACAGCCGCATGCTCGTGGCTTGTAGTAATTACTGTATGTCCTGATGTGCCAAGGCAGATGCAATCATATAGTTTGCTTGGCATTATTTCCGCTAACCTAATGCATTCTAAAGCAGACGCGCTATAATGAGGGTTCCTTGACACGCATAAGACCTCATCCTTCCACGCTCGGCCGGACTTGCTCATGCCGGCCACACAGGGCTGATTGTCTTTAAATACCCGACACAGATCTCATCTGGTATTGCGCTACACCATTAGGCCCCTGAAATTCGCATAGCTGGCGATGGCGACGATGTAGCAGGGGGTGAATCTGGAGCATCAGATCTTGCGATGAGCAATTCGATAGCGACAGCGACCAAGACCTTCCAGTTTCGCTCGCTGTGTAAGTATGCTGTGGGCCAAGGGCCGGAGAATCATGGGACATTACATATGGAACGGCAAACTGATGAGGGAGAGCATGAAATGGAATCTTCTATTTTCCGTCTCGTGACACCGTGCGTCTCGGCACAGAGGGAAGCACGTTAGTTCTAGGGAATAGGAGTCCATCAGACCGGTGGCGATGCCGTTGGCGAGCATCCAGGTGAATTCGGCGCGGGCAGTCACAGGGTATTGGAGACAGGCGTCTGGAAGCGGGTAGCCAAGCTGCCCATTTCAAGGGCCCTTCAAACAAGGTGCGAACTTGGGTGGCCATATTGGGCCGCCGCCTAGTTTTGGCGGTCCAGTAGGGCTCAAGAAACGGGCTCCTTCATAGTGTCCTCTAATCACGGTTCCGGAGTCGGATTTTTATATATTCCGAGCGTCAGCCACAGGCCTGACGGTTACGGGCTGGGCTTGATTATCATAAGTAAATGTTGCAGACCAAGGCATCAGCCGTGGAGGCCTGAGGCAAGAACTGCATTAATAAGCTTGCCATCAAAGCTATAACGTAATCCACAAGTTAGTGGCCCGCACAAGCTAGTGGCCCACCCAACTCAACACGCGACGCGTCGTCCAACAACCACCCCAATGGCAGCACCACAACAACAAGAAGCCATCTTTCAAGAAGGCAGAGTTATTCTAGGCGTTCAAGCCTACAAGACCGGCCAAATTACATCCTTCCGAGGCGTTGAGAAACTATACGATGTGCCCAGAAAGACGGTTACGCGTCGCGCCCGTGGTATTCCTCCACAACGCGGTGCTATCTCCAAAAATCGCCGTCTTACACCTGTACAAGAAGAGGTTCTTGTA